GTCAAGATAGACCTGTACTTTACCTTTACTTTATGTCATTTGTAGCCGAATGGCATGTGTCGATTCCTAATGAATTTCTTCTGTGAAAAGTTGTTTTACTTAGGTTCTGGTATTTTAATGTTTACTGATAGCTTATTTGCTGCTCTAAAGTGCTTTTGAGTACGAATACAGCCTGACTTTGCATACGATGTTCTACACTAAACACAGCGAACCGCCAGTATATATATATTTTCGCCTGGTTTCACCAACACCTAGAAATGGTCCAGCAGGTTATAAAGAATGTGGTCAGTTCCATTGCTAGGTGCATTGTAAATGTTACAATTGCAATTTATTAACATAATGTGCTGCAATCTCAGGGCGCACGTTTCTTGCTCAGACATTTATGACAAAAATACAGATATAAATAACCACAGTCACGTGCCAGAATATTATAATGGTTGCTTTTATGCAATAGTAACAAGACTTATATTTATTCAACAAGTCAACCAGTATTTCATGGTTGCTATGCTATGTGCTCTTCTTTGTATTGGATGTACAGTACTCATGGTGCTGTTAGGAAAAGGTGTGATGATATTCATGTTTCAAAATTATTTTGAATGTATTTCAACGAGGTCAGTCGGTGATAGCTGTACATACACAGCCTTACTGCCACATTTCCAGTTTTTGTTTGTGGCAAGTTTGGAAATCATTTGGAAATTTATTGAACAGCGCTATGAGCGCCAGCTGATAAGTCAACAATTGGTTGCCTATAGTAACACACAATTAGAGAAGGCCAAATTTTATTAGAAACATATGAGGGGACCCGTCACCGTGAGTTACAACAAAGCAATGTAAATAACTGGTTTTCAAACATATTGTCTTAGAATGATATTAGTAATATCATAATTAAACAGCATTGAATGTAAAATACGTTTGAATTAGTATGGACTATAAAACACAATCTAGTATATAATATTATTAGTATTGTTTTGTCAGTTTTTTTTAGGGCAAGTACCAAATCCATTGGGTGGAGTAACATTTGAAAGTCACTCGCCCGAAACGGAGAGTCACTCATAAAAAGTAGTTTTTGAACCCGAATATTATGCGAGCATGTATGTAAGTATAGCAACATGCCATTCCGAGACTATATTAGGCATTAGATCTTTCTACCATGTTTGGAGATATTGGTGAATCACTTTAACTTTCGCGACATATCATCCAAATTTACAATTTTGGCACGATGCAGACATTTACATTTTTATCCTGATAGTTGCAAAGTTCAATGACTTAAATAATAACTCAAAAATTTTGTTAGAAACGTATCGGTTGCCTAATTGAATAGAGCATTTGAAAGGCTAAACGCTCATTAAGGTGTTCCCAATTTTGATATCATTAATGATTAATGATTGATCATCCTAACCCTAACCCTAACCTAAATGAATCATGAATGATCATCCTAACCCTAACACAAACTAATATATGACCATGACCATATATATATATATATATATATATATGTGTTATTATGACCATTAATGACATTAAAGTTGGGAACACTCCTAGTGGAGTATCACCCGATGAAAAGGAGCAAATGTTTTTGCAGGTTACCTGTGCTTGTGCGCGTACCTACTTAGGGGTGGTTTCATTTGACCTTAGTGCTCCTAGTGATGGCGCCACTGTGCATTATTTACATGCACTGCTGCACCGGCTATCACTGTTTGCACTGTTTTCGTACGTTTGCCACGACAGAAATAAATATCGTCGAACAACTTGACAACCGGTATGGTCCGCGTGACGAAGATGAACACCATTCTGCTAATTGCACTGATGTCCCTTTGCCTTTCCCCGGCACTTTCTAGTTTAGCAGTGAAGTGCAACTTGCCGTCAAGCCTATGGTGTAATTCTGATGATATAACTCGACAATGTCAGGTAATGTGGCTAATTTAACATTGCTTATTGTTATTATTTATATTGATCATGAGTGTCATAGTATTAATATATTATAATATATAGTCATTATTATATAGACATTCTAATATCTATATTGGGACACTCCTGATTATATGTCATGATATCCAAAATCGTTGTGCAGTTTACTTCAGACTCAGTTCAAAGTCCGGCTAACATGGTACCGTGGACATAATTAAACGAATGGCAATGCCAACCAATGCTGTAATGCTATTCCTAGCCACAAGTTCCCTTCTCGCTTAACACTACGTGTAACAGTCGGAGAGCCTGGTCGGTTTAGGCTATTCCTAGTTCTAGAACTATAGCCCTCTGCTCCGCCGCAGGGCTATAACAGGCCCTGGCAATTTCCAGGGAGTAAGCAAAGACAACTTTTTTGCGGTTAATAACTTCTTCGGTATGCCAAATAAAGCACGTTCTCTGCCGCACAAATGTCTTAAGTTAATGTACACTATAAACATTAAAATTAAACCGCAAACGAACGCTTAAATGTTGTACTTGCTATATTACTTGTCGACGAAGATTGTTTACCAACTTGTAACCGCCATTTTTTGCTAGTGAGCGAGCACAATGTATTCCCAAGTGGAGGGGTGGGCAGGTTGCACGCGGTTGCAAACCGCGCTAGCGCTGCGCAACGAAAAATGGCGGTTTGCAACCGCGTGCAACCTGCCCATGCACCCTCCACTTGGAAATACATTGTGCCCGCTCACTAGCGAAAAAGGGCGGTTACAAGTTGGTAAACAATCTTCGTCGACGAGTAATATAGCAAGTACAACATTTAAGCGATAGTTTGCGTTTTAATTTTAGTGTTTATAGTAACGTAAGACATTTGTGCGGCAGAGAATGTGCTTTATTTGGCATACCGAAGCAGTTATTAACGGCAAAAAAGTTGTCTTTGCTTACTCCCTGGAAATTGCCATAGTATGTTCTAAAGCCCTGCGGCGGAGCGGAGGGCTATAGTTCTAGAGCTAGGCTATTCCATGCTACGCGGTGTCCTGTAACTCACTATACCAATGTCCAATTCGCGTGTATTTATAGAAGTCAGCTGGTGTACTGGTGCAGACTTCTCTATAATTATATCACGTCTGTTTCACCGTCTGGCCATGACTCAAAATAGCTTTACTGGCCACCCAGGTATTGAGGATGACCACCACAAAAATTTTGGGTACATGTTTGGTATCTACACCACCATGAGAACGATTGGTTCTGGTTTTTAACATTATACTTATCTTATGCTGGTGTCGTTCTATATGTATACACAAACAAGGCCAATGCTATTCAGGGTAGGTATAGTGACTATATATATAGATCAAACTATAATTTTGATCCCATACAGTGAGGCTAGGCTTAAGGACCAGGTCAAAATTTGGTTCGGAGTTGGTCACCACATACACTGCATGGTGTAGTATATATTGGTTACAACAAGATAGTTTTACAATAAAAAATAAGACGTGCACTCACTGCACTCGTACGTTCGCACGCACACACGCACACATGCACGCACACACAGCCACACACGTAAGTTAACAATAAGGCATAGTAAATTGCTAAAAGCCAAATTATTCTTATATATATAATTATATCAGGAGCTTATAAATGGAATAAATGGAATATCCATTTTTAAGTTCCTGATTATATATATAATGGCTCTTGGATAAGCATAGCATTGACATGTATTTCAGAAAATCTAATCGTGTACTTGTAGGTGGAGAAGCACTGTAATGCGTGGCACAAGCGTGAAAATACTCCCGTCGACGTAGGTGTTTTCATCGAAGCCCTATGTTCAGACACAATCAGGTTTATCACAACTCAGCTGTACCCTACCTGGGTTCAATTGAGGGATTCAGCCGTCTTTGACATCGATTTTGTTCCGTATGGGAAAGCAACTGTAAGTGTGATATACAATAGCAACTAGCTAAGTATACAGAAGTTCTGAACAAAGAGAAGTATAGTAAATAGGAGGCATAAACTTTTATTATGTAAAAATCAGTAAGAGTTTGCACCATGGATGTGGAGTAAGGATGGTGTGGAGTTATGGAGTATGTGTTTATGCTCTAGCTGTGTGTTGACAGTTTCAATGTATAGTCATTATACCAGTGATACAAATGTATTCTAATTAAGGATAAAAGCTGTTCAAATTTAGATACAGACATAAGGTTTCTTATAGGATAAGCTTTGATAAATGGTAATTGTTTTTCAATCACAATACGTACTTATACTCATCTCGTTCAAATCTGCAGGAAACATGGGACGGAGATAAGTGGGTGTTTGAGTGTCAACATGGTCCAGCAGAGTGTAAAGGAAATCTGATTCAGGTATATGTAGTGATGTCACGATCATCGATTAACTCGATCATCGTGAGCACAATGGCTTGAACCAAGCGCCTTGGTTATCAAAATCCTAATCGATTTCATTCGGGAAAAAAAGAAAAAAAAATCGAAATAAATGTAAATACTTGAACAAAGAAAACTTGGAAAAGTGATGAGAATCAGAAATGTCATCGCTACTATACAAGTTATCCTTTATTAACATACATGTATTATACATACAGTAGTAAACAGTGCAAAACAAACAGTAAACAGGCTAAACAACACATACATGCACACACTACATGCACACGCGTTACGCATACGCAGGCATTCAACACCCTGAGTAACGATTGTAACTGAATCATCTGGTTTACTTGGGTCCAACCGATGATCGATTACGAAATTACAACCGATTATACCGTATATATGCTACAGAGGGATCCATGGTTTTATGTGTCCCACTAATTTCTTTATATTTCAAAACAATTTTATAACTGACAATGACAAAAATCAATGAGGTTGTTTTATCTTGTACACACGCTTCTTGTCTATGATATGATTTTAGTAAGAATGCAGTTTATATGTAACTATTGTCATTTTTTTACACTGTTGTACTATGAACTGGCAGTATAATAAATATGTTTTCAGATAAACTATCACCTATATATTGTCTTGAATGAAGTTAAAATCTCTTATTCGCAAGAAATTGCACATTGCCTTGTTATCTATTTACTACTACTACATAATAATATTAATTGTCATGCAGACATGTGCAATTTTCCACCTGAAAGACACTAATACCATTACGGAGTACATCCACTGTATGATGAGCAGTCCAAATCCCCCTGAATATGGAGAAAAGGTAAAACATCAACCAGATTTAAACATAATAGATACTGAAATGAATGCATTAACGGTTTGGTGGGAATCGTACGATTCCTTTTAGGTGAATCCAGGAATTTATTTCCAGGTTAAAAATAAAGCCATTTGGATGTGTAATATGTTGGTTCATGTCTAAATAAGAAGCCCTATACCCAAATCATAATCATTACCAACCTAACTTTAATCTTAACCTAACCCTAACCTTATCGGTACAAGAACTGGAGAGTACAGTTTATGTTTGATACATTGGTACATATTGATAACAATTCCTTGTACTGTCCTGCTTTATGTATCAAAACTATCAGAGCATGTACATGCAATGACAAGCATGCGCACTTGAAATCTCAATCTCCGCATCGGTTGCAGTGCGCTGAAATGCTGAAGATCGACTATGAGCCGATAGAAAAGTGCACAAATACGACTCTGGGGAACATGCTGCAGCATCACATGGCTAAGAGAACCCAGCAGGCGGAGCCACCTATTAACTACATTCCGTGGATTACACTGAATGGGGAACACAATGACGAGATACAGAACAGAGCTGAGGCAGACTTCATGGGTCTTATGTGCGACACTATTTCCGTAAGAGCTTGGCGTCATGTTTGCGTAGCCTTCCCGCTAATGACATTGCCTCAGTGCATGGAAGTTTCATTGCCAACTGACTCATGACAGAATTGTTATTTCACTGATTTTTGAATTTATTGCTTTTCTATCGTTGTGTGTTTTTTGTCATGTACCTTTGTGCACAATGCATGTGATCATGTGATGCATTATTATTAAAACAGGGGGAAAAACCTGCTGCATGTCGCGAAATCAACGACACCACCATTGGTCACCATTGCTATAAGAACAGCAGGACTGTCCAGGTGCCAGTAGGTGACAGCAAGTGCAACTTGCCACCAAGCCTATGGTGCAGTTCAACCAGAGTTGCACAGAGATGCAAGGTAACTCAGCAGCCTGGCATCCTTCTGTAAAGGAAACTGCGGACTCTTCCATTTTTCTATTCATGCAATTTAGATCACAAACGAATGACTGTGAGCTAATTTTTTCTAAATTGCTCACATGAGTTTTATTCATTCTCGTGTTTGTAACACATTTTTGGCAGGTTGTGGAGCAGTGCACATCTCAGCTGAGTTCAGTGGCGCCCCCTGTCAGCTTTAGTCTATATTACGAAAGCTTGTGTCCAGCCTGCAGGGAAATGATCCAGTCAGTACTGTACCCTACCTGGAAGAAGATAGGGTCTATCATGAATGTGACCTTGGTTCCATATGGAAACGCACATGTATGTTTCTATATATAAGGGCTTGAAATATGTCAGACGTCAGACCATTGAAAATAGTCCTGGGATTTTTGTCTAGCAGTGTCTATATTATGGTTATTCATGGCAGCCCCTATAGAAGAATTATTTTCTATCCCTGTATCTAGGTTTGCTGTTGCGACAATGGTCAGTGATAGAACTGGTGTAAAATCATTTCATTTATTGTGTATTAACTGCAAATAAAGACGCGATGAGTTATTTTTTGACAAGTCTTTTTGCTATATTCTTACTTCATGTTCTTGCTGCAGGAGCATCAGGAAGGAGGCAAGTGGGTATTTTCCTGTCAACATGGCAAAGCAGAATGCACAGGAAATATAATAGAGGTGAGATCTGCAATCGTAGCTAATAGGACAAAGAAATCAAGTTAATTCTTTTGAGTGCATACATGTGTTAAACCCTACCAACATTTTATTTGTAATTAAATGTTTTAACTTGGGTTGTGGAGTTTTTTTTTTTAATGGAGGGTAATTGTGATTAGTCATGGAACTGTAGCAGTTGAAGTAGTCCTGTAGTCCCCCATTTCATGCACATGCTAAGTTCTATTAAAATTTCGTTTTCATGCTGGCGAGTTGCTGAATGTGTGACCTACTTGTAGGGGTGTGTAATTCACCTTCTGGCTCGGGTTGAGAAGTGGCTGCCATATATTCACTGCATGGAGGCATCACCCAGCCCACCTGACTATGGAGCAAAGGTATACCATAAGAATACAGTATATGTTTAGAAGGCATTTCCATTATTATTAAAAAATGGTGTGGCATGATGAGAATGAATGTTTCAGATGCAAAAATGACTTCCTAGGAGAAGATTGTATCGTATACGTGTTTCATAGTGACTTTCTCAGCAGGTTTATCAGTTGCTTGAAGACATAACCTTGCTTAATTTGAGACATTGCTTGAATGCAATTATGAAATTAAAGACGATTCCTACTTTAACCATGTACGTATCATACGTTTATTTCATCTGCAGTGTGCTGAGCAGCTAGGCTTTGCTTGGAAACCTATTTCGAACTGTGCCAATGGCACTGAGGGGAACCACCTCATGCATATGGCAGGTGTAGCAACAGATGCCCTGGTACCTCCACACCAATACGTGCCCTGGGTCACCCTGAACGGGGTGAGTGTGCACACCGATACCATTAGCAGCTGATTGTTTTCCCCCGATTCATGAATCCAGGTGTCAAAAGGTTATTTCGGTGTTAACTAGATCACATGTGTTCAGTGACATCTCGTGGACATAACTATAGTTGGGCGCATATATGGTTTTATGTCGAAGATTTCAGGTTTTCCCGTTGATATTTTGTGAATGAATGCTGTGTTAATTATTATTGAAAAAGGTTATTTTGGTAATGTGTTGATGTCCAAGTTGATAAGTGTGTCAGAAACTGTGTATTTTTTTGTCGTTTGCTGGACAGGTTCATACTGATGAAATCCAAAAGCAAGCTGAGACAGACCTGCTCAAACTCATCTGTAATACATACACTGTAAGTACAGGGCCTTGCATTAGTGAGCTCCGCTTAAGATACTTGTCTTTGTGCAGGGACTGGTAGAGCCATCGCAAGTGGTAGCCCCCAAACCATACAATGGGGGGGGGGAAACTTGATCAAGTAATGATTTTGTTTAAAACATGACAGCCGAAACGCAAAGAATATCTAGCCAAGAATGTTTGCACTCACGATAAACTTAATTGAAGTGCTAAACCATTCTAGTCATCATCGTTTCCTATGGCACTTCAGGGACCAAAGCCGGCTGCGTGCACTGATGGAGAGATACACACCCGTTGTTAAATCTGCCACAAGAGGGAGACATCTGCACCAAAACCTGGTCCATCTGTTGACGGGCCACAAAGAACAAGCACCCTAGCCGATTTGGTAATAAATATACACAAGTATTGATACTTGAAACGAATTTAATAGTCAGGGAAATGTGTAACAGAAATGTTTTGTGCGTTGTGAAATAATTCATGGAAAATCTTTCTATACAGCAACATGCAGATCAAATCAATTTAATAATGCATTGTTGTAACATATTAACATGTGTCTGTGATATGGATTTATACTTGAAACTAGAACTAATGATTACATCTATGAATGGTAATCGTGTAATTTTTACGTATATATGATTTACAATATGAAGATTTGAGTACTTTATATTTACTAAGCAAGTTTCTGAATGTGCCTATGCTGCCTTTCTATTATTAAAATTGTGGCAAGTAACCCAGTACAGGTGGTCATGAATTATTTGCACATATTTGTTACACGATTTGTGCATCATTTCATTTCTAATGAAACTTGAACACATGAGAAAAGAAGTCAGTGACCCCCATGACTTATCATAATTCATAGCAAAATTTATTCGCTTGAAAATGGTAGGAAAGTACAGAATGTCAGATACAAGTAAAAAAAGGCATCTGAATGTACTGGGCATGCATAGAAGAAACAACACGAGTGACAGCGGTGGTCACAAATGTGATAAATTATTCCGATAAGATTATATAGACATCCAACTCTTAAGATATGACATTTTAAGAGCACAGTAGAAACAGTTGACAATTAAACAATTGTCTTGGCAGTAAAGAAACCACATGCAATGTTAATACAGCAATTTGGCAAAATTTCAAATTATTAACTAATCAAAGTTACATCATTTCATTTCAACATCAAGTTGTCACCATTAGATAAATCAAGCAATAATTTGTATAACATAAAACGAACAATGATGAATTAACAAAAAACATTCACTAAAAATCTGCATCAGAGTTAATTGCCTATAGAGTATTATACCTCACCTGGCAATATGACTTTGTAATAAAAATGGTATAATTAGAACACTGTGTATAGAAACGAATCACAACAGTGCTACTTCTCACTTATGAATGATATACGAGGGCTGTATCTTGGAATATATTGGGGAATACATGTGGTAGACACTTCATGAATATACAATAATTAATTTCAGGAAGGGAAATTGGTAAGGTCATTATGCAGTGTCACAAGAAAAGCTTTTAAAAGAAGCTGTGCCAAGTGGAGTAATATTGTAATAAGTTAGCATGAAATTGATGCATTTTTTTAAACCAGTTTTCCAGATGCCAATACTAGATCAATTCAGCTTGCACAATAAATTTACCTGGTTTGATTCAATACAAATTGATGTTACTTATAAATAAAATAGAATATAGCTGTTACAAAAAATGAGAATGCCTAGTGATGCAGGGTTACCAGGAAACCATGTACATTGGATTTCAATGTAGAAAGGTTCATGCCATACTTTTGACTGAATGCACACAAGTGAACACGGCACTATACCGACTCGAAATAAATTTTAAAGATGGGATACAGAGGGACAGCTATTCTACGTCAAACTTGCTTTTAATTAAACAATTTGTAACAACATTGTAGCATTAAAATGTGCACGTCTCTATGGGGTTTGGGGGGGGGGATTTAGTTACTTTAGTGGTACCATGATCACTTGCGTGCATAAAGACAAAAGTATGGCATGAACCTTTCTCCGCTGAATTCCAAAGTACATGATGGTTTCCTAGTAACTTACCCACAGTAATTACCAATACAATAATGCGGGAGTTATCACACCAAAAGAAAGTTTAAACCAGATCTACTTTCCAACACAATCAGCAGTTAAATAATGAGTATTCATAATGATGTAGTTTCTTTCACCGTCAAATTTCAGCCTCAAACACCTACTTTCTAAGGTGACGATTGTGGCACGTAAGACACATGGGCAACGTGGTACATGCACACAGTACAAGTCATGTGAGCCTATTACCGTCCAATAAATCCAATAAATTACATGAGCCACATGTCTGTTGATAAATGACAATTTTGCCAACTCAGCTGTCGGCTGGCATATGCACTCTAGTAGGATATCAGTACATTTTCACAGTACATTTCATCAGTACATCCACAGGTGATTACTGTTGCCCCGGCTTTAAGCAGGCACGTAGCTGAAAGATGCCTGCTTTATGTGCTAACCTGCAAGCCTGCAATACACTTCAACCGATCATAATTCCAAACAATGAACATAACATACAGATTCTACGATGACCACATATTTGTAACTTGTGATCGATGACAAGTTGTGCGATTCATTACTTCCCATTGGTTTATAACAGGGATGAATGACATCTTTTAAAATCCCAGCTTTTATGCATTACGACTCGATATTTCGTCATGGAGGTAATGTAATACTGTTTCTACTCAATTCTAAACTAATACATCTGTATTTATTCATTCATAAGCAATCGTTGACATACCATACAATCATTTAAGCTAAAATAAACGATCGATAGAAAGTTAAATCGTGGAGCACCCATGCAGGCAGTAACTGGTATTTACTATTTACCTGGCTATACAGTATACAGCTAAACAAAATTGAGTCCATGAGCTACTAACCTACTACATCTCAATCTCGGTTTGGTATTCTCACATAACGGGGTACCAACTATCCATCATACTTTTCTTGTCAAGGCTTAAAAGCTAACATGCAAACATGGGGGGATAACGATGTCCATTGTTGGTGCGTTGCGACATTTTATTTGCCATCAGTCATATCCGCCACTTAGGGAAAAATGCACCCATCCGTTTATATGTCAACTTCCCAATACATCACAGACGCAGGTCTAAGTTTCTGCTACACTCAGCTAAGTCAACCAAGCAGGAAGCTTCCACAGTTCACAGTTTCAGAGTGCAAATTCAATTAACCATTACTGTCACGCCATGCAGTTTCCTCCACTCCACGTTTCCACAATACATACATTCTGAATGTATGTATTGTGGAAACGTGGAATTTCTATATTATATATACATTTGAAAATCATCAAATGGTACAACAACCAGTATGAAGTACAAGCTAAACTCGACTCGAATCACAATGAACGTCAAACGATCTAAACACCCTATATGCATCCTACCCAATTCCATGTGAACAACTAGACGTAAACTATGAATATAAATTTTTTAATCACAGCTTATCATTTCATGAATATTCTCAAGCGCAGAACTGGTAGTAGTCAATCACTAAAGCTATACACAACGTTTATAAAAAATCATAATTAGTTTCATGCTTGCTGAATGACGAGTAGAAATGTGTAATTTCAATACTGTGACAGTTAGAGGCAGTAATGGCATATCAGCAGGCTGGTTTCAGAAATCATTGTACGATATATGATCATTATTATTCAGATCTGTTACCGACACAAACGGCACTACAAATAAAGTGAGTAAGATCTTAGAGATAAAATGTACACCATGTAAAATACTGGGTAACAGACTTAATCCTCCAGATATATTGAGCAAACAGAAAATTATGGCATTTCACAAGTATTACATATCATTATTTACATGCATCAAACTCAATAAAATTATAACAGTAGTCATAAGCCGATATTCACTGATGGTTAAATTACTTAAAATTTGCAAATGTTATAACACTTCCATCACTATCACAGTGTTGTTTCTAACTAAATTATAATAAAACTATAAGATTAATACTTTTGTGAATAACGCCTGCTAATAAACCAGACAAACACTATAATTACTTTGGTTAGAACACATTAAAAATTCTCTCTACCTAAAAACTGTTTAGGGGTAGGAACCAATCAGTAAAGGCCCGTCTCCACACACGCGGCGCGGCACGGAACGCCACGGAAACGGCATCGTTCACCCTTACCGGCAAAGTTCAAATCTATTATATCTTATGGCGCAGTCTCCACTGACACGGCACGGCGCCAGTCGGGTTTCACGGCGAGGGCAAAAGTCAAATGAGTTCGACTTTTGCCGGCTGACGTGACGGCGAAAAGACAATTGAACCAATCAACGCAATTGTTTTTTATCACGTGTTCTGCTCACGCTACCATCAGCCAATGGACAACAAGCACATGCATAATTTCTGATCACTGAACCCCAGAGTGAACACAATGCGCTCAGACACAATGCGCGAAATCACAATGTATTTTTTTCAGCACAACGGCGCTGCGTTTTGCTGTGTCGTGTTGTGCCGCGTGTGTGGAGACGGGCCTTAAAGTCAGCGTGAAGAAAGGAACGGC